GTGTGGTGCAGAAACAATGAATACTGTTACGCTGAAAATAAATTTAAAAAAATTTTTTTTAAAAAATTTTGGTGTTCACCACACCAAAAACAAGTAAATAATAAATAAATAAATAAATAAATAAAGGAGTTCATGACCACTAAACAAGCACTGCAGGAAATTGACAGTGGACTCTGAATGGCAAAAACAAAAACAAACAAAAAGACAGTGAACAAAAGCAACAGACTAGAAAGGACCAGAGAACACCACCACAATACCAACTCTACAGGTAACACAACAGTACTAAACTCATATTTATTCAATAATTATTCCAAATGTAAATGGTCTAAATATTCAAATCAACAGACATGAGATATAAGAATGAATTAAAAAAAAATAGTTGGCTCCCTACAAGAGAGTCATTTTAGACTTAAAATTATCTGAAGATTGAGAGCTAGAGGATGGAGAAACACCTATCATGCTAATGGATGTCAAAAGAAATCTGCAGTAGCCATCCTATTATCAAACTAGATTTTAAAACACACAGTGACAAGATCTGAAGAATGGTACCACATCTTAATTAAGGTGTGTATCCATCAAAAAGATCTAACAATTGCAAATATTTATGCACCCAACATGGAAGCATCCAAAAACACAAATCAACTAATCACAAACATAAAGCAATTCACTGACACAATGCAATAATAATAGTAAGGGACTTAATACCCCACTCACAAAAATGGACAGATCATCAAAGCATAAGATCAACAAGGAAAAAAGCGCTCTCAGGGACACACTGGTCTGGCCATACTCAACAGATATATTCAGAGAATTCATTCTAAAGCATCCAGTACAAAAATACTGAGACCATACCATGCATATTTTCAGACCACAGTTCTATGAAACTTGGAGTCAACCACAGCAAAAACTTTGGAAATACAAAAAATACATGGAGGCTAATGAACATCCTGCTAAAGAATGAATGGGTTAACTAGGATATTAAAGAAGATATGGGAAAATACATGGAAGCAAATGAAAATGAAAACACAACAGCCCAAAACATCTGGGATGTGGCAAAGGCGATCCTAAGATGGAAGTATACTACAATACAGGCCTTCTTCCAAAAGTAAGACAATTCTCAAATACACAACCTAACATTACACTTAGAGGAGCCAGAAAAAGAACAGCAAATGAAGCCCAAAGCCTGCAGAAGAATGGAGATAATAAAGAGCAGAAACAAATCATACACAAACAAAAGGTAGAAAGAAACAACAAAATTAAGAACTGGTTCTTTGAATAAATCAACGAAATTTATAAACTTCTAGCCAAATTTATCAAAGGAAAAGAGGAAGGACCCAAATAAATAAAATCATGAATGAAGGAGGAGAGATCACACTGGCACAACAGAAATAAATTTTAAGAGAATACTATGAGAAATTACATACCAACAAACTGGACAATCTGGGAGACATGTAAACAAACAACAAAACTCTACCAATATGAAAATGGAAAGGAACACAAAATTTAAACAGACCAATAACCAGCAAAGAAACTAAATCAGTAGTCAAAAAATCTCCCAATAAACAAAAATACAGGGCCAGATGCCTTCCCAGGGGAATTTTATCAGATATTTAAAGAAGAGTTAATATGCCCATTTTCTCAAACTTCCAAAAAACAGAGACAGAAGGAAAACTTCCAAACTCATTCTATGAAGCCAGCCTTCCTTGATACCAAAACCATACAAGAATGCCACTAAAAAGGAGAATTACAGGCCAGTATCCCTGATGACCTTGGTCATAAAAATTCTTAACTAGATAGTAGCAAACTGAATCCAACAGTACATTAGGAGAATTATTTACCATAATCAAGTGGTATTTATTCCTGGGCTGCAGAAGTGGTTCAATATTTGCATACCAATCAATGTGATACACCACATTAATAAAAGAAAGGATAAGAACCGTAAGGTCCATTCAATAGGATCTTATGCAGAAGAAGCATTTGACAAAGCACAGCCACTATTCTTGGTTGTAAAAACCCTCAAAAAATTATGTTTAGTGGGAGCATACCTCAGCACCATACAGCCCAAATGAATGATCCACAGCTAAGATCATCCTCAATGGGGAAAAACTGATAGCTTTTTCTTCATAGTTAGGAACATGACAGGGATGTCCACTCTGACCACTGTTATTTAAAACAGTACTAGAAGTTCTAGACACAGAAATCAGACAACAAGAAATAAAAGGCATCCAAATCAGCAAGGAATTAAATCAAATTTTTGCTCTTCTTAGACCACCTGACGCTCTATTTAGAAATCCCAAAAGACTCCACCCAAATGTTGGTAGAACTGATACATAAATTCAATAAAATCTCAGGGTACGAGATCAATGTACAGAAATCTGTTTTATTTCTATACAGCAAAAATGAAGCAGCAGAGAAATCAAGGAATCAATGCCATTTACAACTGCACCAAAAAGAAGATACCTAGAAACAAATCTGACTAAAGAGGTAAAAGGTCTGCTCTCCAAAAACCACAGAACACTGATGAAAGAAACTGAGGACAGAAGACATGGAAAAGCATTCTATGTTCATGGACTGGAAGAACACCATTAAAATGTCTATACTACCCAAAGCCATCTACACATTCAAAGCAATCCCTATCAAAGTAACAACGTTTTTTTTTTTTTTTCTAGAGCTAGAACGAACTATCCTAAAACATGAATGGAACCACAAAAAATCCCAAATAGCCAATATAACACAGAAAAGGAAAGTCAAAACTGGAGGCATCATTACTCCAGACTTCAAGGTCTATTACAAAGCCATGATCCTCATGACGATATGGTACTGGCACAAAAACAAACACATAGAGCAATGGAACAGAAGAAACATACCAAAATGCACCCACAACAATCTAATCAACCAATCTTCAACAAAGCAAGAAAGAATGGAAAAAATATACCTTCAACAAATGGTGTTGGGAAAATTGGACAGCCACAGTGTCCAGAGTACACTGTGTCACTTTCTTATACCATACACAGAGATAAACTCATGGAACAGAATAGAAAACCCAGAGTGGACCCACAGCGATCTGGTCAACTAGTCTTCAACAAAGCAGGGAAGAATATTCAATGAAAAAAGACAGTCTCTTCAACAAATGGTCTTAGGGAAACTGGAGAGCCACATGCAGAAGAATGAAACTGAACCATTCATTCTCTTACACCATACATGATCATAAACTCAAAATGTATGAGAGACCTCAGTGTGAGACAGGAATCCATCAAAATCCTAGAGGAGAATGCAGGCAGCATCCTCTTCAACATCAACTTAACAATTTCTTACCAGACACATCACCAGAGCCAAGGGAAACAGAAGCAAAAATCAACTTTCTGGACTTCATCAAGATAAAAAGCTTCTGTGCAGCAAAGGAAACAAATCTAAATGACAACCTACGGAATGGGAGATGATATTTTCAAATGCCATACCTTACAAAGGGTTAGTATTCAAAATCCATAAAGAACTTATAAAACTCAACATCCAAAAAAACCCTGATAATCCAGTTAAGAAATGGGCAGAAGACCTGAACAGACAATTTTCCAAAGAAGTCCTACAGATAGCTAACCGACACATGTAAAGATGCTCAACATCACTCATCGTCAGGGAAAGAGAAATCAAAACTACAATGAGATACCACCTCACACTTTTCATATTGTCAAAAATTAACAACGCTGGAAATAACATATTGGTGAGTATGTGGAGAAAGGGGAACCGTCTTACACTCTTGGTGGGAATTCAAACTGGTGCAGCCACTCTGGAAAACAGTATGGAGTTTCCCCAGAATTGCTCAAAAGATATAAAAACACAGATTCAAAGGGTTATATACAACCTGATGTTTATAGTCACATTATCAACAATAGCTAAACTATGGGATGATCCCTAATGTCCGTGGACTAATGAATGGATAAAAAAAAATGTGGTATATATATATACAATGGAATATTACTCAATCGTCAAAAAGAATGCAATCTTACCATTTGCAACAACATGACTGGAGCTAGACAGTATTGTGCTAAGCAAGGTAAATTTGTCAGAGAAAAACAAATAGCATATGAGTTTAAGAAACAAAGAGATGAACATAAGGGGAAAGAGAGACAAATCATAAAACGGAGTTTTAACTCTAGAAAACTGATGGTTTCCAGAGGGGAGATGGGTAGGAGGATATGTTAAATGGGTGTTGGGAAATAAGGAGAGCACTTCCTGTGATGATCACTTAGTGCTGTATATAAGTGATGAGTCACTAAATTCTACTCTTGAAACATATATTACCCTGCATGTTACTTCACTAGAATTAAAAAAAAAAAAAAGGTTGAAAGAAAAGAAAAAATAAGTGAGAGCTTCTAATGTTGTTTCAAACTCTTCAATAATTCTTCTGCTTGTAGGATATAAAACAGTATCACAGACAATCTCCAAGGTCAAGCAAAATCTGATTATGGTTAACTTCTTAGTTCAGCTTTTAAGACAGCTGCTATATGTTCGTCCTCGCTGATTATTCTGACTTCCCAGCTGTTCAAACTCTGTAGCATGAACTATACCTCTGCCTTCATTATCAGAATTTCTGAATTTTCATATCTATTTCAATTATGCTTCCCTAAGAAACTGTTCTCAATTTCCTGAGTAGGTAAAGCCTTCATGTTTTTCTCGCTCTTGCTCTCTCTCTCTCTCTCTCTTTTTTAAACTTTTATTTGCTACTGATCCAGCTTACATGTACAAAGTTTAGCCAATAAAATAAATTTGTAAATATAAACTTAAAATATTTCTCCTGTGGGATCACAAAGGTGAGAAAGCTGCAAAATATATGCACATATTTGAATGATCACATTAATGTAGTAACTCTGAAGGTACTAGTAAACTGAATATGTAAAACAAAGTGATACACAGAGATGAAGTCATTGTTTTCCATGCAGATTCATGAAGTACAGAACCCCCCAAATGACTGAAATAAACACTACACATGTCAAGACATATACCTTGTTTAAGTTTAGACAGCATTGATTTTTCTGCATCCACTGAAGCACTCTTGCCAAGTAAAAGACGTTTGGCTAAATCTTTTTTGTAGAAGGCTTCAAAAACATCTTTCCCTGTAATATTTAAAGAAAAATACCTCAGTGCAGACTTGGAAAATACAAAATGATAATACCAGATGCCAATTAAATGATATATTATAACCAATAATATCTGAGAATCATGTAAATAACAGCAAGTGAAAAACAAGTGGTCACATTACCTGATTGCATTTATATGAAATATCTCAAAGTACATAAAATTATTTGGAACAGTCAAATTGTTGGTTGCCAGAAGATGAAGGCAAGAAGAAAATGACAAATTATTGCTTAATTTGTAGGAAGTTAATGACGAAAAAGTTTTAAACTAAGTAATTGTGATGTCTGTCCAACACAGTGAACATACTTGCTGTCACTGAATTTTAAAATTTTTTTAAGTTATCACTTTTACCACCATAAAAAAATTATTTGAATTCAGTTTCTATTGGGATCTGCACATTAACTTCTTTAGATTTTTTTCCACAAATGTTATTGTTGCTTTAAACATTAATTTATTTTTTAAAAGATTTTATATAATTATTTGAGAGAGAGAGTCATAGAGAGAGAGAGACAGCATGAGCAGGGGGAGAGGGAGACACCAACTCTGCACTGAGCAGAAAGTCCTATGCGAGACTTGATTCCAGGACACTGGGATCATGACCCAAGCTGAAGGCAATCAATTAACCAACTGAGCAACCCAGGTCTCCTGTTTTAAATTTTTAAATAGCCAATTTAAACCAAACTACTCACCATTAATGAACCTAAATAAAATTATTACTTTATCCAATAATTCTTCAAGTTCTTCATCTGTAGCTTCTTTGTTACCTGCACGGAGTTTTGAATCCACGTACTTCGCTAAAATGTAAAACATAATTTTCTAAGTAATGCCATATTTCCATATATACTATGAACAAAAACCATTTCTTCATATAAATACTTTCCTCCTGAGCCACATGCATCAATTTTCATAAAACAGAAAGTGAATAAATGAGTTGATGGATAGAAGAATGGAAGGAAAATAAAAGACAAAATAAGTGCCTTTAATATTTCTATAACCTCCATGTCCAAATATTATAATAAAGTCATTTCTTCAATCCCTTGCTCCCAATCTCTTTAAAAATCCCCCCAAATTGTAAGATATTATGTAAAATTGAGATATGTCAATCCCCAAATCCTAAAGATTTATTAAGTGTTAAATATATTCATTTTAAGGAACAAAGGAATATCAATTTGATATTTTGTTTCAACTTTCAGAAAGTATGTCAATAAAAAGAAATAACTTAAAATATAAAATCATTAAGTTTTGTGGGAGTAAGGAAACCTTTCCCTTACTTTAAAAAATATGAACAAGACAAAGAAGTGGGCTTATCTATAATTTTCTAGTTTCATCTACTGATTTTTTTTAAAAAATGCTAAATTTATAACAATCTAAAGGATCAGAAATTTCTAAAGTGCTGATTTCTATTAGTTAAACAAAGGAACAATGTCTTGTGCACACTAAACTTGAGAGAAATAATTTATTAAAATCACTGATAATCTTGCAATGTTATGATAAATTAGAAGATCAAACTGAATTCTTATCATGTAACTTAAAAGAGATGAAATAAAAAATAAAATACATATTCATAAAATTGAAAACCGTACCTAGAAGCTCAGCTGGTTTGTTAGGTCTTTTATTTATAAATGTTTCAAAAGCATCTTTCATGGCAACAATAAACTTTTCATTCTTCAGAAAAGATGTTTCAATAATAAAATCAATCTTATCTTTAAAATCCAGAAGTTCTTGCACCATTGTCTTATCTTTCACAGGATTAGTCATTATGCCATTACCAAATTTCTGAAAAATACAATTACCTTATTATTATTACACAGCAAGTGAAACACCATTGAAAATTTAACTTCATTATAAGAAAATCTCAGAATAGCAAATATGCAGAAAACATCTAAAGAAAAAGGTATTGCTAGATAAAGACAAGATACTCTGGAAATAAAGCCAATAGAAATAAATGAAAACTAACTGATTCTCTGAGTAGAAGATTATTGAGAAACATGTCAGAAATGGAAGTCTATGATGCCTAAACAATAAATCAGAAAAAGAGTATAGGTATATTAGACTCACAGGAATAGACAAAAAGTATCTGAAGAAGAAGAAAGTGGAAGGCCTTAGTACAGAAGGGCTTACTTCATGTCTGTATATTAATGAAATGATTAAGCTACCAAAACTTGTCAGTATCAATTTTTCAGAATGCTGGAATACAATCACAAACCTACAAAGACTAGGGTGATACATAATGAAGAAAGAAGGTCTGAAATACAATATTAAGACAGCAACCTATCATCTCCCTTTCAACAGCTTAAATGGTCTTAAAATCAATAAGAGAAAAACTCATCATGTACGATATTCACTAATAAATCCATTCAAAGCTATGAAAGTCAAAAGGCAACAGGATAACATATTTTGAGTGCTGGGGAAAAAAATGTCACTAAAAATTCTATATCCAGAAAAACCACTCTTTCACAGTGAAGGAAAACTGGGAATAATGAGTTAGATAAATATTGAGATAGTTCTCTGCTAGTAGACCTGTCCCACAAAAGAACACCAAAGCAAATGTAAAGAGACAGATCAAGATGGCAGAGGAGTGGCAGAGCTTAGTTTCCTCTGGCCCCAGGAATTCAGCTGGATAGCTATGAAATCATTCTGAACACCTGTGAGCTCTATCAGAGGTCTAAGAAAAGAACTGCTGCAATTCTACAAATAGAAAAGTGGCCACTTTCTGCAAGATAGGATGTGTGAAGAAATGAATCCAAGGCAATATATGAGAAGATTGACTTTGGAGTGAGGGAGCCTCCATAAGACACCTACTGCAAAATGACAGAGGAGTGGATCAAAAAATCTAAACTTGTAGAAGTCTGCTCCAGTGAGGGATGTCCCTGCCTGAAAGGTGCTTGCACGGCAAAGTGGTGTAAAATCCTGGATGGGACAGTGTGGTTTCAGGATTCCAGGAGTCTAGAAAAACCAGAGGAGGGATGCCTGAGTATGGCAGAACTCCCAGGCATCAGAGCAGAGAACCTGGCTGCAATTAGTGCATTCAGGAACGGGCTCTCAGCTCAGAGTACCATATACCTTGAACCACAGCACGTCTGGTGACTGCTCTCTAAGCAGGGGCCCAAAAAGCAGCAGAACTACAGGGAGGACCCCCTCCCCCAACTTTTCTCCCCTGGAAGCGGTGACACGGGTGTATGCTGCAGGAATTGTCAGGGTTTGGAGACTCGAATCAGGGTCGTGTGCCTAAGATAGAAACACTTGGTCACAGACTGGGTGAGCATGGAGTGCGGATAAAGACCAGGAAGACAGGTGTGACTGACTGCTTTTTCCTGAGGGCTCATTGAGAAGTGGGGCCCCTAGATTTCTGCTCCAGAGACAAAGACTGGGAGGCTGCCATTTTCATCCTCATCCTCTAAAGCTGGGCAGAAAGCCTACATGGAACAAAAGCCACATAGAGCAATCCAGAGCTACTTAGCCTGGCTTCCTGGCAAGGGGTATGCAATTCCGCCCTAGGCAAAGACACTTGAGAATCCACACAACAGGCCCCTCACCCAGAAGATCAGCAAGAACATCCCACTAAGACCAAGTCAGCTGATCACACAGAACTACAAACTCAAGTACTAAGGGAAAATAGTATACAGAATTCACAGCTTTTTTCCCACAATTCTTTAGTCTTCCAATTTTATTTTTTTCCCTCTTTCATATTCAACCAATTTTTTACTTTATCAACTCATTTAATTTTTATTTTTATAGTTACATTCTATCCTTTCATTTGATGTGTGGCTGTGTTGGTAACATATATCTATAAGGACTTATTTTTTTAATTAAATTTTCTTTTTGCAGTGTTCCAAGATTCAATAAGATTTTCTTACTTTACAATTTTGGGATGAAGTTTCTTCAAAAAAAATAAATAAATAAATTGATTAATTAATTAAATAAACTGAGAATCTGATTCTGTTCTCTTCAACTGTCCGATCATATTCTTTTTTCCCTCACCATTTCTTTTATTTTCCTATTAAAGCTATTTTAAAATTTCATTGTAGAAAGGATAGAATAAAAGGATAGAACTTTGGTTCTATCCTTCAAATTTTATTCTGTGTACAGTTTTCTTTCTTTAAGATTTTGGGATATAGTTTCTTCATTTAACAAACCAACCAAAATACAATCAGGATCTAGCATATTGCTCTGTTTTGTTCACCTATTTACATTTCTATTTTTTTCTTTTCTTTTTGAGTGTATCTTTATGTATGGTTTTTTAATTTTATTTTATTTTCATTTTCAGAGTTACAGTCTATGCATTCATTATATTTAATTTTATTTTTGTATATATATTTTTCTTTATCCACAATTTTGAGAGATCTAGTTTTCTAACAGATCAACCTACACACAGGATCCAATGTATTGCTCTGTTCTGTTTTCCTGCCTAATTATATTCTCTTTCTTTTTAAAAATCGTTTTTTCCTTTGGTGGCAAATCTTCTCTGAGTTATTTAGTGTATATTTCTTTTTTTTTTTTTTTTAAAGATTTTATGTATTTATTTGACACAGAGAGAGATCACAAGCAGGCAAAGAGGCAGGCAGAGAGAAAGGGGGAAGCAGGCTCTGTGCCGAGCAGAGAGCCCGATGTGGGGCTCGATCCCAGGACCCTGAGATCACGACCTGAGCCGAAGGCAGAGGCTTAACCCACTGAGCCACCCAGGTGCCCCTATTTAGTGTATATTTCTCTTGGATTTTCTTGTTACTTCAGTATTTTGCTCTCTCTTTCATCTATTCTTCTCTGGCCAGAAAGACAAAATTGAAAAACTTGGCACTAAAAAGAGAACAAGAAGGAGTACTGATTGCCAAGAACCTATTCAGAATAGAAATAAGTTAAGATGTCGAAACCAGAGTTTAGAATAATGATTAAAAAGATACTAGCTGGGCTTTTAAAAAGCATAGAAGACACTAGAGAATGCATTTCTGGAGAAATAAAATAAATGAAATCTAATCAAGTCAAAATCAGAAAGGCTATTAACAAGACACAATTAAAAAATGGACACTCTAATTGTTAGAATATGTGACACAGAAGACAGAATTAGTGACACCAAAGAAAAAAATGATGAAGGATAAAGAAGCAAAGAAAAAGAGAGATAAACCACTAGTGGATAACAAGGGAGGAATTCAAGACATAAGAAATATCATGAAGTGAAACAATCTTAGAAACATCGGGAGACAAGATGGCAGAGGAATAGGAAACCCTATTTCAACCAGTCCCCTGGTTTTAGCTGGCTATTGACGAAATCATTCTGAACACCCACAAAATCAGTCTGAGATGTAAGAACAAAAACTCCAAGAGTCACAAGGAATGAAGTCTAAAGTCATGAATTTTCCATGAAATATCAGAAGATAAACAGAAGGAGGAGGGAGACAGCATAAGCTGGAGCCGGGAAGATGACGAAACATCGGAGCACAAGAGCACCTGACACTGGAGACCAGGCATAGACTCCCAACTGTACTGGCAGGGAAAGGACTTTAGTGCATCCCCAGACAGGATCCAAGAGCTACAGGGGCACATGCACAAAACAGGGGCAGCTTGTGGTTTTAGAAGCACAAAGATCTAGAACGTTCCCCATTCCAGAGATCAGCTTTTGGGAGAGTTGCTGTGGGTGCACACCACAAGGGAAGCTGTGGTTTTTAGCAACGCAGACAGAAACAGAGACTCTGTGTCCTGGAGAGCTCAGTGAAGGACAGACTATAATTTTTCTGCTCTGGGCCAGAGGTTTGGGTACAGTCATTTCTGCTCTGATTCTTGAAGAGACTAAAGACATGCAGAACATTGTCAGTGAACAAAAGCTCAACAAAACAGTTTCCATTGAACCCACCCCTACCTCAACAGGGGGCAGGGCAACACTGTCCAAGTAGGGTTCCTTAGGAACAGCCCAACAGGTCCTTCGCCTAGAGGACAGGCTGAGAAAAAAAGAGAACTACAACACTAGGATTCCCATAAAATGCATATATCTTGCTTGGGTCGGGGTTAATTCTTTGGATCCTGTACATTCACCCAACCACCACTCAACAGAATGACTAAGAGGAGGAAAGACCAATAAGGAAGAACACCAGAGATATGCTCTCTATCACATTTCTAATGGTTATGGAAATAAGCAAGATGTCAAAGATAAATGTCAGAGTAGCAATGATGAAGTCGATATCTAGGCTTGAGAAAAATATTAGCCATAATATAGATTTCCTATGGGAAGAAATGAGATCTAATCAGGCCAAACTAAATAATGTTATGAATGAGATGCAGTCTAAATTTCACTGAAGCAGAGAACAAATTAGTGAGCTAAATGGTAAGATGATAGAAAGAAAGGCAGCTGAAGAGGCTGGGATAAACAGATAAAAGGAGCTGAAAACGGACTTTGAGACCGTGAGAACATTTACCATGAAATGTTCCAATGTCAGAATTACTGACATCCCCTGAGGGGGTGGAGAGAGAGAAAGGACTAGAAGGTATATTTGAGCAAACTGTAGTGAAGCAGTTCCCTAACCTGGGGGAGTAAACAATATTCTTGTCCAAGAGGCAGAAAGGACCCCTACCAAGATCAACAAGAACAAACCAACATCCTGGCATATAATAGTAAACATTCCAAATCTTAGATCCAAGAAAACTATCCTAAGAGCAGCTATGGTGAAGAGATTTCATAGGTACAGCGGGAGGAACATCAGAATATCAGACTTAGTCAGAGACCTGGCAAGCCAGAAATGGCTGACAAGACAGAGAGAGGTACAAAATGAGAAGAATATGCAGAAAAG